GACACTCAACAAACACTGACACACAGGGGTAAATGTACAAAATGGCAGTAACAGGATATAAAAAACCAACTACAGTGGTACCTCGCAAGACGAATGCCTCGCAAGACAAAAAACTCGCAAGACGAAAGGGTTTTTGGTTTTTTGAGTTGCTTCGCAAGACTATTTTCCCTATGGGCTTGCTTCACAAGACGGAAACGTCTTGCAAGTTTGTTTCCTTTTTCTTAACACCGTTAATACAGTTGCGACTTGACTTCGAGGAGCAACTCATAGCACGCGGTGTGGTAGCCTTTTTTGAGGTTTTTGAAGACTTTGGTGATTTTTGAAGCTTTTCCAAAACTTTTCCGAAACAGTGCTTCACAAGACGAAAAAAATCGCAAGAAGACAAAACTCGCGGAACGAATTAATTTCGTCTTGCGAGGCACCACTGTACAACAAGAAGGAGATTTAAGTGATATTTTGACAGTAATGAGAGTATCACTAAGCCAGCAACACTTGCAGAAGTTGCAAGGGATTTAAGGGATTGCTCCAAAGAAATAAGTGATGTGTCTTAAAGACCTAGCTCTCTGGAAGAAACTGAAAACAACAACAACACACTACTGGTCAATGAAATCAGAGACATGAAATCAAGTGAAAGAGATGCAGGAACAAATCACATAAACCCAAGAACAGATGACTGGAATACAGCAGAACACAGAAATACTGGATGAACCGGTCACTCTCCTAGTGATGCAGCACAAGGAAATGTATTTGAGATATTGATCGATTCCAGAATAAAGAGATGAAAGGTTTTTAACAACTGCTGATTAAAGAATTGGAGAAATTTCTGGAAATCAAGGAAGATGAGATGGAGAAACAAATTGAGTGGGCACACAGCACTAAATCAGCATCTGCAGGAGCAAGGAAATTTCCAGGAGACTGCTTAGTTCATCCCACAACCCTACCAGAACCATCTCTCTCTCTACTGGCTCCCTTGGACCTGACATGGGAACCGAGCAAGGGCACAGCCGGTTGCAATCTTTTGTTTCATGTTTCCACCCTCCTACGTTTCTCAGCAGCTGCAAGCGAAGAAGTTAAGGGAGCTCTTTTTCCACACCGGATGCTTCAACCAGTGCCCAATAGCGAAGGCAGAATAGCGAAGGCTGTTTCAGGGGAGTCTCGCCCACCACGCATTAACTTGCAGTGTTTGTTTGGGGAAGGGGTACTTGATTCACCCCCAGTGGAGCCTGCTGCTGTGCAAAACCGCTAGCTACACCATTGCTGCAGCAGTGTGCCCAAGTTCACACAGAGAGGCTCCAGGAAGAGGAGGCATCCAGTACACCGGGGAAAGGAGGAGGAAAGCAGCAGCAGCCGCTGTGCTTTCGAAGAAAGCGCCAACCATGCTGACGCCCCCACTGGCAGGCTGGGCAGGGCAGGGCTGGCCAGGAGGATGGCAGGTGGAGCAGTCCCACTGCGCTCAGCATCCTGCCTCCTTTGCCGACTCACTAGCCACCCCACTCGAGCTTTCTCTCACCACAAGTGCTCCTTCACAACACCCATCTCTCTCTCTCTCTCTCTCTCTCTCTCTCGGATAGAGCAAATGAGTGTCACATGAAACACAGGAGGGCAATTAAAGGCATAACACAAAGAGACACCTTCCAAGAAATATAGAACCCTTTCTTTAACTACTTTAATGTCCAAAATCAAGACCCTGTTATAGCCAGAGCCATCTTTACTTGGGTGTGAAAGGTGTGCAGTGCACCCGGGCACAGAATTCTGGGGGGCGCCAGGCACCCGCCACTGAAACCACCTTAGCTTTTAACTATCTATCTGTTATGGAATAATAAATACCATATTTTTCCATGTATTATTTAGACAACCTTTTTTTATGGTAAAGGGTAAAGGGACCCCTGACCGTTAGGTCAAGTCGTGACCGACTCTGGGGTTGCGGTGCTCATCTCGCTCTATGGGCCGAGGGAGCTGGCGTTTGTCCGCAGACAACTTCCGGGTCATGTGGCCAGCATGACTAAGCCGCTTCTGGCGAACCAGAGCAGCGCACGGAAACGCCGTTTACCTTCCCACCAGAGCGGTTCCTATTTATCTACTTGCACCTAGCTTTCAAACTGCTAGGTTGGCAGGAGCTGGGACCGAGCAACGGGAGCTCACCCCGTCACAGGGATTCGAACCGCCGACCTTCTGATCGGCAAGTCCTAGGCTCTGTGGTTTAACCCACAGCACCACCTGCGTCCCTTATAAAGGTAAAGGGACCCCTGACCATTAGGTCCAGTCGTGGCCAACTCTGGTGTTGCGGGGCTCAACTCGCTCTATGAGCCGAGGGAGCTGGTGTTTGTCCTCAGACAGCTTCCGGGTCATGTGGCCAGCATGACTAAGCCACTTCTGGCGAACCAGAGCATCACACGGAAACACCGTTTACCTTCCTGCCGGAGCAGTACCTATTTCTCTACTTGGACTTTGACGTGCTTTCGAGGAACAGAGACCGAGCAATGGGAGCTCACCCCATCGCAGGGATTCGAACCGCCGACCTTGTGATCGGCAAGTCCTAGGCTCTGTGGTTTAACCCACAGCGCCACCTGCGTCCCTAAGGTAAAGGGACCCCTGACCATTAGGTCCAGTCGTGGCTGACTCTGGGGTTGCGGCGCTCATCTTGCTTTATTGGCTGAGGGAGCCGGCATACAGCTTCCGGGTTATGTGGCCAGCATGACTAAGCCGCTTCTGGCGAACCAGAGCAGCGCACGGAAACGCCGTTTACCTTCCCACTGGAGCGGTTCCTATTTATTTACTTGCACTTTGACGTGCTCCCGTCACAGGGATTCGAACTGCTGACCTTCTAATCGGCAAGTCCTAGGCTCTGTGGTTTAACCCACAGCGCCACCTGCGTCCCTAGAACGGTACACTCCTTCTATCTGGGATGGTCGTCCTCTTCCACCGAGCGCGCAGCTTCGGGAGGGACGCACATGGAGCGGTGAGGGAGGAAGGGGACACCTGCCTAGCCAACCAGATCAGCCAAATCAACCCTGGTGATAAATGGGGTGCCAGATGTTGCAGCCAGATCGCCCTCACATCCAACCTTTTTTTACCCCAAAATTAAGTCTAAATGGGGAGGGGGTCGTCTTATACATGGGTTGTGCCTCATTGGGACAGGTGTTACAGTGAGCAGGATAGTGTCAGCAGCGATTGTCCGCTGTGTATTGGCTACCGCTGCGTCAATTGTGAGTGACAGGCGGCTGGTTATGCTGATCAGGCAGACAATAGGCGGCAATGGAGGCATGAATGATTGCAAGGGGCGCTCCGGTGGGTGAGTCGTTTTCATGGCTGAGGGGGTGGCTGCCTGTGGCACAGAGGGGCACCACCAGCTGCCCCTGCAGGAGCAGCAGCCAAGGCCCTCCCATGGGGAGAACCTGTGGGGTGTGGCAGGTGAGAGAGGACACCCTCACAATCTCCTCCCTATGTGTGCATGCGCGCCCTTTGTGTTCTCCCGTCACTTTCTCTCATCTTGTGACCGCCCCAGAAGTAGATCGAGCCGGGAAACTGCTGGTTAATAATGTTTAATTTGGGAGCTAAACTAAATTTGGTGGTGCTGGGCGGATCTTTGCGCACCCGGCGGCGCATATGCTAAACATGGCCCTGGTTATAGCAGCAACTCAATTTTCTCAGTGAAGAGGTTACATAAAGTAATATGTTTGAACACTGAATGTATAAACTTAGGTCTAAAATAAATTGATAGAACAAACACATTTACTTCTAGTTAAGTGTTTAATGGTTATTATTATTATTATTATTATTATTATTATACCACTATTACTATTGTACCCCACCCATCTGGCGAGGTTTCCCCAGCCACCCTGAACAGCTTCCAGCAAAATATAAAAACATAATAAAGGTCAAGTGTTAAAAACTTCCCGATACAGTTATGTAGTTCATAATCTCCTTGACATCTGATGGAAGGGTGTTCCATAGGGAAGGTGCTACCGTCAAGGAGGCCCTCTGCCTGGTTCACTGCAACCTTACAGTGAGGGAGCTGCCAGAAGACCCTCGGAGATGGATCTCAGTGTCTGGGCCGGACTATGGGGGTTGAGACGCTCCTTCAGGTATACAGGGCTGAGGCCATTTAGGGCATTAAAGGTCAGCACCAACACTTTGAATTGTGCTCGGAAATGTACTGGGAGCCACTGGAGAACCTTTATGACCAGTATTATATGATTCTTGCATCTTTATACAGAAGGACAGGATTTAAATGACAGAAAACATTTTTGAACAATATTTTTATTGGTAGTGACATATAAACATACAAAAACATAATGAGCAATAACAGGAATAAGGGTACATAGTTATGAGGGGTTTCTAGCATATGAAGCTTATCAGAGTCCAATTCAGAGTTTGTGCAGATCTATCTTTCTTTCCAAGTACAGTTCTCTATGAGTTGCCATTGGTTGAAGGTCAGCTGCATGCAGGGCTTTTTTGCATCTGGAACTCACTTGAACTCAGTTCTGACACCTCTCAGGTGGACACCATTGTGAGAGAGCAAGGGAGGTGTTCATGGTAGGTTCCAGTACCTTTTCAGTGTGGAAAAATAGCCCTGGTGGCATGTATGTTTTGATGATGATACATTCAATAAATGTAGACCAAATTCAATTGCTTCTGTTCCTTTTCTTTGTGCTTTAACTTTGCAAATGAAGATTTACACTAATGCACTTTGCCATCTTTCCTGGTACAAGTGTTGAGATAGCAAGCTTTCCAATATTACTAGCAGAGTTTATGAGGAGTAAGGATTCTTCTGGGGATATGCTTTGAAGGTAAAGTATGTACCCAGCCTAAATAAAAAATAAAACTAATAACTTTTTGGGGAAAAATAAGTAGTATATCAAATCTGAAACCAACATTTCCCTAGGTTTATGCTTTATGTGGAATGCTGATTGGATATGATGAGCAGCCAATCAGGAATTGGTATAGCCTAAATGGGAGGAGTTCTGGAATGCCTGACATCACAAGGGAGATGGTTCTTAGCCAGTGGGAAGATGAAACAGCCTTAAGAAGAAATTAGAGAAAAGGTTGTTTCATGACAACACCAAGGTATCCAAACAGAAAGAGGTCTGATGGGTGGAACACTTTCCTTACAAGCTATGATATTTGCAGGGACTCATTCCAGGACTGAAAGGTCACTAAGAGGGAAAATGATAAGGAGTATTTATAAACTACAGATGGTTTTTCTCTTTTAAATACTAGAACTCAGGATCATCCAATGAAACTGAGTGGTGGTACATTATAAGGATCTGCACAGGTGCTGTCTTGACAGCGTCCCCTGCTGGCTGTTTGGCCAATAGCAACCACCAGGCAAGCAACAGGTTCTTTGGATTCCATTGGACAGAGAATTGACAGACTCTTAGGTAGAGACAAACTCTTATTAATTGGTTAACATTAGCAAAGAAATTGGTCAGAAACCTAGAATGGAGTCTAATATAAAGCCAACAGCAACAGGACTAAACTACAACGCTAGCAATATAACCAATAAGCAAAATATCTTAGGCAACAACAACAACAACAATACAGATAGAATAGGTTTAGTTCTTCATGTCTCTCCAGCCGATCGGGATCTGGAAGGCTTATCTGGGACACTTCAGACTGGCAGGTGGTCGTTCTCTTCACATTCTGGAATGGCGCATAGAACAATGTATGAAGATCTCCCTGTCCCATTCAGCTGCTAGCCCTTATATAGTCCATAGTGAAGGTCTCATGCCAAGCTGGCAACAGATGTAATTCATGATGTAATTCCATTCCCATCTTTTGATCTGACCTGGAAGTCGACACATGTCGGCGTGAGCCTTCATTTGCATTCTTTATCTCTGTGGTTCAGTCAATGTAAGGTTACTTTCCTTGTTCCCAGTCAACTGCTTCCTCCTTCCTTCCCCCATGCAGGCAGGTGCTTGATAGCTGGCCAAGCCATGAAGTTCCTTTCACTTCTTCTCAAACAGCCAGGTTCCTTATATTAAAGCTCCAGCTACATTGCAAACCAGGAGCATCACATTCTGTTTTATTCCCTGGCAATACAGGTGCCCTGCTCTGATTCATGGGCCCAGTTTTTAAATCCAGATCTAGATCATGATCCAGAAAATATAAGTCTTTGGGAAACCTAGATCAGATGGCTTTGAAATGGGCTTAGACAACAGTCCTCTTCTTTCTTTAAGCCACAGCGTCAGATGTCAAGCTGAGTCTTTGCAAAAAGAAAACAAAATGGCACACTTGGAGAGCCTGGGTAACAGCTTCCCCTCTACTTCTTTTCCAGGTCCAACTCATGTTGTCCAAAGTCTTGCTAGATTCAATTGGATTTATATGCGTCCAACAAAGACCAGATCTAGTACTCAATCTTTAATTGAATTAAAGATTGAGTACTAGGCAGAGCCAGCAGTGGTGTAATGGTTAAGAGCGGTGGACTCGTAATCTGGTGAACCGGGTTCACGTCCCCGCTCCTCCACTTGCAGCTGCTGGGTGACCTTGGCTAGTCACACTTCTCTGAAGTCTCTCAGCCTCACTCATCTCACATGAGCATGTTTGTTGTGGGGGAGGAAGGGAAAGGACATTGTTAGCCACTTTGAGACTCCTTAGGGTAGTGATAAAGTGGGATATCAAGTCCAAACTCCTCCGCCGCCTCTTCTTTAATGATGATCAGGAGCTAGAGATATAACTAAATGTATATACCTTCCATCAAGGGTGGGGAACAAATGGCCCTCCAGATGTTATTGGTCTGCAATTCCTGTGACCCCCAGCCATTGACCATGAGGCCTGTGATGGAGGAATTTGGCACCCAGGAACATCTGAAGACCTCATAGGTCCCACATTATTTATTAAATGGTGAACATCTTACTGGAGTCCTGTAAACTAGATGTCCAGGAGTTTAGAGAGGAATAGGATGCAAAATGAGAATGTGCTATATTACCAAATTTCTTTAAAAATGCCTTGGAATCCATGTGGAACATCTCTTTTGGTTTAAACTGAGATTGATCCAGCAAAAGAGAAAGAAAGACGTTTCAGTTATATTGGACTCAACAACGTCTTTATGGGAAAGGATGGTCTAATACTGATGCCACTTTACAATAATCTTGTTCTCCATTTGTTGTTGTCTTATTCTAGCTGAGAGGATGGAGGAGCCAGCGCCCGCAGAGCCAGCGCCCGCACAGCCAGTGCCCGCAGAGCCTACAACACTATTGGCAGCAGCAGCACCAGCAACTATAACTGACGGTCTGTATACTGCACAGTCATATGGGATGAGGTTTCTCATAAAGTAGAGGAATGCATGGGAAATGCACAGGTCTGCTTCTTTTCCAGGTCCAACTTGTGGTCTCAAAGTCTTTTTTCTGTTTCTTTTGTAAATTTATTTATTTGGTTTTTCAAAGTAAAATTTTACAATCACATATCAACATACAATATAAAAACAAGATTCCAAAGAATCGCCTGGACTTCCCTCCTCCCCTTTATGGGTCCGATTGTTAGTCATTTCCTCCTGCATCTTTTATAATAATCCAAATCTTTTACATTTCTATTATGTCCAAAATTCCCCATTAAACTACAAATGGTATTCAAACCACACTAAGAATTTTAGGTGTTTACAATGGTTTTAAAGATAGATTATAAACTTTCCCCATTCCTTAAAATTTTCCTGATTTCTGATTCTTTTGTTCTTTTTTGCCATTTTGGCATAATCCACCAAATTTATCTGCCATTCTTCTATGGTAGGGATTTCATCTTCTTTCCATCTCTGGGCCAATAACATCCATGCAGCCGTGGTCATGTACATAGTCTTTTCTGCTCCTTTGGGATTTTGGCACCTAGAGTTCCTAAAAGAAAGGCTTTTTGGTTTTTTTATGGGGGGAAATTAAACTCCCCCCCCAATTCATTAAATATAATTTCCCAAAATTCTTTTACTACCTTACATGTCCACCACATCTGATAAAAGGTGCTTCTTTTTCCTTACATTTCCAACATATATTTGACCCTGATTTATACATTTTTGCTAATTGACGGAGTTAAATACCAACGATATATCATTTTTGTATAATTTCCTTTCAGCGTGCAACATGCTGTGAATTTTAAATTCCAATTCCCTAAGTTCTCCCATGCTGCAAGTTGTATATTATACCCAAAATCTTTCACCCAGTGTATCATTGCTGATTTAACCTGATCATCTTTTGTATACCATTCTAGTATTAATTTATACGTTCTTGAGAGTAAATTTGTTTTGTTCTCCAACAGCTCTTTTTCAAATTTAGAGGTTCCATTAGAAAAGCCATTCTTTTTGTCCATCTTGAATATATAATTTAGTTGATGGTGTTGAAATCAGTCAGTTAGTAATTCTCTTATGTCCCCAAACATCTTCAGTTTCGATTGGAATTCTACTTCCATTAACTGCTCTTTATACGTTCCCCAGTCATTTCTCATATTCAATTTTTTTAAGGGTATCGCTTCTAGTGGTGGGAGCCACCATGGTGTTTTTTGTTCTGGTAGATTTTTATATTTTTCCCATACCTCATAAACCGATTTTCTTACAACATGATTTAAGAAAGCTCTATGTACTTTAACCTTCTCATACCACAGATATGCATGCCAAACATACCTCGCAGGGTCACATTAAAGCTGCGAGCGCTCTCAACTGCACTCCCCCCCACCTGCCTTTCGGCAAGGTTTCCAGGAGGGCAGTGGGAGATTGGTGCTTCTGCCAGAGTGAGGCTTTCGGGGGGGGGTGCCTAGCCCTGGCACTCTCCCCTCTTACCCCTGCCAGCCTCAGACCGGTAGTCCCTTTCAGAGCGATCGAATCCACGCTGCCATTTCCAAGACCAGCCTATAATTTTTAATAAATCTGTGTCTTGTTTCAGAATCAGTGTAATGTAAGCATCTTTCCAAGAACCTGGCACTTTCCCCTGTATTTAATATCTCATTAGTTACATCTTTTAGTGGTTGTGCTAGATAATCTTGTAGTTTCTTATAGTACTTTGCTGGTAACCCATCTGGCCTCTGTGTTTTGCCCATTTTGGCTTGATGAACTGCCTGTTGTAACTCCATCATAGTTATAGGTGCATTAAATGAATTAGGTTTCTCTTTTGGAATTTTTGGTAAGTTAATCTGCTTTAAATATTCTTCAATATTATTTATGCTGGCTCAGTACAGTTCTGAATTATACCTTACAAATTGCTTTCTTATGTGTTTCGTATTATCTAAAACTTTCCCTTCTATATTTCAATTAAGTTCATGTCTTATTTTTTCTTTAGCTGCCATGCCTGCAGGTTGTGTGGCTGGCTGGCAAAATAAAAAAAATCTGCCATAGCATTTTAATCTTCCATTCAATTTCTTGATTTACCAACATCAAATATTGTGTTTATAACATTTTTATGGTTTGCTTTACTGAATCTTTTCCGGGTTTTTTGATCAATTCTTTTTTATTTTTAATCAATTCTTCCAGCAGTTCTCATTTGTTTGTTTGTTTTTGTTCTCTCATCTTTTTTTGGAAAGCATTTTGTTGGATCAAAACCCCCCACATTACCGCTTTACTTGAATCCCAGACAACCTTCAGATCCACTCCTTGATTTAAGTTTAACTCAAAATAGTCTTTCAAAGCTTTTTCAGCTTTGTGTAAAATTGTTTGGCTATCAAGAAGTCCATCATTTAATTTCCACCTAAATGTGTGTGTTTTTTTCCACCTTTCAATTCCTCTAATACTGGTTTGTGATCCGAACGTGTCCTTGATTGTATCTCTCTTTTTTTCTTCTCAATGCTAGTTCATTAGATATCCATATCAAGTTGGTTTGTCCAGCAGATTGCTTTGGTTCTGAAAAAAAGTAATTTCTCTATCCAGTGGGTGTTTAAATCTCCATATATCAAGCAAGTTAAAGTGCTCCACCATTTTAAAGAAAGTTACGGGTAGTCTCCCCTCCTTAGAATCTATTAAATGGTGAACATCTGGTAATGTATTGTGAGGAAGCCACTTTCAGCCTGAGGGCTGGTATCTTAATGAAAACAGCTCTGGTTGCTGCTGGAAAATGGACAAACACAAAAATGAAAGGCATTTGGACCTTTAGGCATGGTAATTTGGCACAGTAAGTAATAGTGACATCATATGACATTGATTGACAGAGAGGCGGGGCAAATGGAGAGACCTGGAAGGCCCCTGCTTTCAAGTGATTTTTGGAATCATAAGAAGAGTCTGAGTGCTAGATCATGTGAAAAGTCCATCCAGTACTGTATCCTGACCACTCCATGGCCAACCAGATATCTATGGGGAAATTGTATTATTTCCTCCAGATATTCAATAGATGCCAAAGCCCTCAAAGGAGATAGTCTATAAACAAACACTAATAAATGTTATGAAGCAAGATATTTCTTTTCAGCACACACCAAGTAACTGAGATTTCAGCTGCAATATAAACAGAACCAAAAATTCTCCATCTGATCTTATCAGCTGATCTAATGTACAGATATCACAATCAACCCATTTCTTGCCCCAAATTTGGTTTACCCCATAAAATAAATATAGAGAGAACATATGAATCAAACCCATAACTGTTCTTTGCAAATGCTTGCTGAAGTCCCATAAACTAGACATCCAGGAGCTTAGAGAAGAATATAATGCAAATGAGAATGCTATATTATCTAAAACATTTTTTCAATTCCTTTGAATCCATATGGAACATCTTTTTGGTATAAGATGGAGACTGATCCAGCAAATGAAAAAGAAAGACATTTCAGTTATATTGGACTCAACAATGTCTTTACAGGAAATGGTTGTCTAATACTGATAGATGCCAAAGTTTAATGTTGGAAATGCCTCATTGAGACATATTTTTGGCCTGATGTTGTTGTCCATTTCAACTTTGTACCGATGAAAGCCTTGACATTTGTAGATGTGCATCTATTTTAAAAAATATGTTCCTGTAATAGGGAGATTAAGTGCAGGAGAATAAAAGCAAATTTTGTGAGCTTTCATGCTTGACAAGAGAGTAATACTCTGAGCATGGAAGGGAAAACACCCACCATCCAACCAATGTGTTCATAGGTCGTTATAATAGCTTATTGTTTCACAGATGCAACTGAGAGGATGGAAAAGTCCGGAATTGATGAAGCATCCAGAAAGGATGCAGCAGCAGCAGCAACACCGCCAACAAGAACTGGAACTGTTGGTCTGTATACAGCACAGTCATATGGGATGAGGTTTCTCATAAAGTAGAGGAATGCATGGGAAAGGGAAGTTGATGGAGAGACAGGCAGGGAGTGGAACCAGTCAGGTTGTGCTAGGGAGGAGTGCAGAGAAAAGCACACACAGCTCTTTGGGTGCCAGAGATCCATGAAGCCCCATAGAAACCCCAGGATTCAGCCCACTCTTTGCTGCTGGCTGTAGTGTTCCTTTACCCACAGCTTGCAGGGCAGCAGCTGAAGAAGGAGCAAAAGGGTTTTCTTGTGTGTGTGTTTCTTTGTGGCTGATTAGCTGCCCTCCCTGTGCAAACGTCAGAGGGGGCAGGGTTTCTGTTGAGTCAGGTGATTAGCTGTGGGAGGAGCTTATCAGAGCTTGCAGGGCACTTTGATCCATCTTTTAGATTTAGGGGAGCTAGTCTCAAACGTTTGTTGGGGGAGACCTAGGTTTTTTTGGGGGGGGTTATTTGTCCTGTCTTCATGCTTTTTAAGATGGAGGACCACTGTAGCCACCCCCAACGACACGTTTTCAAGATGGAGGGTGAGGGAACAGCTGCAGTCACCTGCGGTTCCTGCGCAATGTTTGCCATCTTGCCAAAGATTGCAGGCAGCTTTACCTGCAGCAATTGTATGTTGATTGCCCTCTTAGAAGACAAAGTCCAGCAACTGGAGGAACGTGTAGCTACGCTCCAAAGAATTAGAGAGCTGGAGCTCTTGTTGGAAGCAACAGAGAACACCGTCTCCACCAAGGAGGAGACAGGGGACACCCCTGAGAAGGAGGCTAGTTCACCAACACAGGTGCCAGATATATGGAGAAACGTGACTCAAAGAAGTAGGAGGCCCAGGGTTCGCTCTGATTGTTTAGAAATACACAATCGCTTTGAAGTCCTCTCCCCTAGCATGGAAGGCGAAGAACAGACTCCATTTGAGGATCTCTCCCTCATTACAGTTGATCAGGTATATGAAGACGAGCAGCAAAGTCAGTCCTCAGGGAATGTGCAGGCGACCTTGGAACGGCCAGCTCACGGAAGAACCCCAACCAAACCTAAGAGGAGGCGTGTAGTGGTGATAGGGGATTCCCTACTGAGGGGAACAGAAGCAGTGATCTGTGGGCCTGACAAGATGTCTCGGGAGGTGTGCTGTCTCCCCGGGGCTAAGATCCAAGATGTAACTGAACGACTGCAAGGAATCATAAAACCCACTGACAAATACCCCTTCCTCTTGGTTCATGTGGGAACCAATGACACTGCAAGCAATAGCCTCCAGAAGATCAAAAGAGACTACGAGGCTCTGGGCAGGAAATTGAAGCAATTAAATGCACAAATTGTCATCTCATCTGTCCTCCCAGTTGAACGACGTGGCCCAGAGAGAGGGAAAAATAGTGGAAGTGAACAGCTGGCTTCACAAATGGTGTAAACAGGAACGGTTTGGATTCTTAGATCACGGACTGCAGTTTCTTGAAGATGGACTTTTGGCAAGTGATGGGCTGCACCTCACAATGGTTGGGAGGAATGTTTTTGCCAAAAATCTCAGAAACCTCATCAGGAGGGCTTTAAACTAACTAATGTGGGGGAGGGAGACAGTGCTCCTGAAGGTAGGAGTCTATCAATTGATGAAGATGATCATCTAAATGTCATAGACCAAATGGAGCAAAGAGTACGCAGACCTAGTGGTGGGAGGAAAAAATCCTTAAATAAGAGACACGGGGGAATGATTAATGGACTTCAATGTCTGTACACTAATGGGCAAAGCATGGGAAATAAACTAGATGAGCTTGAGCTCTTGGTACAGCAAACTAAATATGACATAATAGGCATCACTGAAACCTGGTGGGATAAGTCCCACGATTGGAATGTAATAATGGAGGGATACAATCTATTCCAGAGAAACAGACCAGACAAGAAAGGAGGAGGAGTGGCGTTATATGTCAGGGATGTGTATACCTGTGAAGAGATCCAAGATTTAGAACCTCAAAGCCAAAGTGAGAGCATTTGGGTCAAAATTAAGGGAGAGAAGAATAACAGAGACCTCTTTGTGGCAGTTTACTATAGATCCCCAAGCCAAACGGAGGACATAGATGATGCCTTCCTGGAACAGATGGCCAAGCATGCAAAAGGAAGGGAGACAGTAGTAATGGGGGACTTCAGTTACCCGGATATTTGTTGGATGTCAAACTCAGCCAAGAGCATAAGGTCAAACAGATTCCTCACTGGCCTTGCAGACAACTTCATTGTCCAGAAAGTGGGAGAAGCAACAAGAGGAACAGCCATTTTAGATCTGGTCCTAACCAATGTTGATGACCTGGTTATGACGCGATTGGGCATTGCATCGTCCCCATTTCCCGATTTGCTAAGCGGTTTGCTGCCTTCATTGTTAGGGACCACTTCTCCCCCAGAATCTGGCTCACTGAGTGAACTGTTACCAGAGCTCTGGGACGTTGCTTCCATCCTCCCATTTAGTTCTAAACTCTGGTTCGGAGATGCCACCTTAGCCATTAGCTGTGGCGATGACTTCTTTTCCCCCTTCCTGCCTTTCTCTTTCTCTTTTTTATCTCGTGCAGCAGATTTATTTGAGTCCGACGGGAGTAGATTAAATAATTTCTGCCATTGTTTATGTCGGCTTATCTTTATTTTCCTTGTTGTTTTAATGTTCTTAGTTTTCTTTTCCCTGGCTTTTGGTCTATTTTTTTGCAATTTCTTGGTTGTTACTGCCTGTCTCATCTTCACAGGTTCATCTGGGTTATGCACAAGTTCATCTGGTTTATGCACTTGGGGTGCATCAGTTGCTGTTGTCTCTTTTGGTTGGGGAATAAAATTTTCCACAAGGGTCAGCAATAACCCATTTGTTATTGTCAAGTAATTTTTTATGTTGGAAAGGTCTGTATTTATATCTTGGAGGTGGGCCTGAAAATGGCCATCACTCGGTTCAGTTTGAGTATATTTAGAAGTGGGCGCCTGGTCTTGGTGGCATGTTGTTAATTCTGCCAAGGGCCGCTGATTATAGGTGAAAGAAATATTTCCCTCAAGTTTCTCCGCTAGAACTAGCTCTTGCGCCAAGCTTCTTGGGGAATTTGTGTTTCCAGAGTTTTGTTGAAGCTCTTTGAAGTAATGTGGCCGGTCAAGATAAGTAAGGGGGGGAGGAGTGACTTCGTCAATAATTAGTTCAATTTGTTCACTCATGCATTCCTCCCTCTTAGGGAAATAATTTATAATTTTACTTTGTCCCTTTCCAGGTCCCGGGGGGCTAAGTGGCGTATCTGGCAGAATACCCAACTCCTTACATATCTTTCTGGTGAGGACCATGTTGGGTAGTTGTCTTCCAATTAGAAAGCCAGTTGTCCCCAAGTATTTCTGCCTAATTTGCAGGGCCGATGGATGAATAGGGGTGTATCTGCAGCTTTCTCCTGCTTAGCTCATCAGCGAGCACTGATTCTCAATATGTTTCTTTGGTGGAGCTTGAGTTTTTTCCTTTCCAGTGACGGGGGGTCCCTTCACGGCAGGGGAGTCAGGCCAGACCTCTTCTCTTCCCCACTCACTCGTTTCAGAAGATTGCTCAGCTCCACAGCACCAAATGCACAGCGGAGGGTGCGGCAAGGCAGCAAAGCTGAAGCTCGAATCAGGTGATAAAACAATAAAGCAATAAAAGCCCAGAGGGCTTTTAAAAACTACTTAAAACTACTTAAAACTTAGTCTAAAGCAATAAAAGCCCAGAGGGGGGTAAAAAAAACTACTTAAAACTACTTAAAACTTAATCTAAAGGCAGACGAAGTTAACTAGGCTGCTACCTTCGTCGCCATCTTAGTTTCCCAACCGTTAGTGGGGTAGAAGTGGAAGGATCATTAGGCGCGAGTGATCATGCTCTTCTGAAGTTTACTATACAGCGGAAAGGAGCAGCCAAGCATACTAGGACTCAATTTCTTGACTTTAAGAAAGCCGACTTCATAAAACTTAGGGAAGTGCTGGGTGAGATCCCATGGACAGTAATACTAAAAGGAAAGGGAGTTCATGATGGCTGGGAGTTTGTTAAGAGGGAGATAGTAAAAGCACAACTTCAGGCAATACCAATGAGACGGAAACATGGAAGGTGCCTAAAGAAGCCAGGGTGGCTATCTAAAGAACTTCTAACTGAGTTAAGATTAAAAAAGGATGTGTACAAAAAATGGAAAAGGGGGGAAACCACCAAAGAGGAATTCAAACAAATAGCCAGCACATGTAGACACAAAGTCAGAAAAGCTAAAGCACAGAATGAACTCAGGCTTGCTAGAGAGGTTAAAAGCAACAAAAAAGGCTTTTATGGGTATGTCCGTAGCAAAAGGAAGAACAAAGAAACAGTGGGGTCACTCAGAGGAGAAGATGGTGAAATACAAACAGGGGACACAATGCCTTCTTTGCCTCAGTCTTCTCCGATAAAGAAAACAATGCCCGACCTGAAGAATTTGGAGCAAATGATTCAGCAGAGGAAACACAGCCCAGAATAACTAAGGAGATAGTACAAGAATACTTGGCTAGTTTAGATGTATTCAAGTCTCCAGGGCCAGATGAACTGCATCCAAGAGTATTAAAAGAACTGGCAGATGTGATCTCAGAGCCACTGGCAGTCATCTTTGAGAATTCCTGGAGAACAGGCGAAGTCCCGGCAGACTGGAGGAGGGCAAATGTTGTCCCTATTTTCAAAAAGGGGGAAAGAGAGGACCCAAATAATTATCGCCCAGTCAGTCTGACATCAATACCAGGGAAGATTCTGGAGCAGATCATTAAGCAAACAGTCTGTGAGCACCTAGAAAGGAATGCTGTGATCACCAATAGTCAGCATGGATTTCTGAAAAATAAGTCATGTCAGACTAACCTGATCTCGTTTTTTGACAGAATTACAAGCCTGGTAGATGAAGGGAACGCAGTGGATGTAGCCTACCTTGATTTCAGCAAGGCATTCGACAAGGTGCCCCATGATATTCTTGTAAAGAAGCTGGTAAAATGCGGTCTTGACTATGCTACCACTCAGTGGATTTGTAACTGGCTGACTGACCGAACCCAAAGGGTGCTCATCAATGGTTCCTCTTCATCCTGGAGAAGAGTGACTAGTGGGGTGCCACAGGGTTCTGTCTTGGGCCCGGTCTTATTCAACATCTTTATCAACGACTTGGATGATGGACTCAAGGGCATCTTGATCAAATTTGCAGATGACACCAAACTGGGAGGGGTGGCTAACACCCCAGAGGACAGGATCACACTTCAAAACGACCTTGACAGATTAGAGAACTGGGCCCAAACAAACAAGATGAACTTTAACAGGGAGAAATGTAAAGTATTGCACTTGGGCAAAAAAAATGAGAGGCACAAATACAAGATGGGTGACACCTGGCTTGAGAGCAGTACATGTGAAAAAGATCTAGGAGTCTTGGTTGACAAACAAACTTGACATGAGCCAACAGTGTGACGCGACAGCTAAAAAAGCCAATGCAATTCTGGGCTGCATCAATAGGAGTATAGCATCTAGATCAAGGGAAGTAATAGTGCCACTGTATTCTGCTCTGGTCAGACCTCACCTGGAGTACTGTGTCCAGTTCTGGGCAGCACAGTTCAAGAAGGACACTGACAAACTGGAACGTGTCCAGAGGAGGGCAACCAAAATGGTCAAAGGTCTGGAAACGATGCCTTATGAGGAACGGCTAAGGGAGCTGGGCATGTTTAGCCTGGAGAAGAGGAGGTTAAGGGGTGATATGATAGCCATGTCCAAATATATAAAAGGATGTCATATAGAGGAGGGAGAAAGGTTGTTTTCTGCTGCTCCAGAGAAGCGGACACGGAGCAATGGATCCAAACTACAAGAAAGAAGATTCCACCTAAACATTAGGAAGAACTTCCTGACAGTAAGAGCTGTTCGACAGTGGAATTTGCTGCCAAGGAGTGTGGTGGAGTCTCCTTCTTTGGAGGTCTTTAAGCAGAGGCTTGACAACCATATGTCAGGAGTGCTCTGATGGTGTTTCCTGCTTGGCAGGGGGTTGGACTCGATGGCCCTTGTGGTCTCTTCCAACTCTATGATTCTATGATTCTATGATTCTACTGTGTACAGCCAGGAATGGTAGCAGGTGCTGTTGTGGGCAGAGATGGGTAGACCACACAAGCTGCACTGCACCTCCTCAGTTAGTCTGCTGCCCCATCAGCAGCATCAAAATAAGAGCCAATGGCCAGCCCAGCCCAGCTTCTGTATGTGGCATTATGTGCACAGAGGGAGCATCTTGTCATTTGCCTATTGGGCAGAATGTCCTTTAATATCAAAGGCTACTGTCTTCTGATCCAGACATTGGTCAGAAAAGTTTCCTCAAGCAGCAAGGTATCTCTCCTTACTTCCTCCACCTGCTTAACCACCCAGATTACCACCCCTTGAACAGTTGACTGTCTCTGGCTGATGGCTACCACAGCATATGGAAACCCTTTTTCCTGGAGTGGCAATGGTATGTTGGCTTGTTGCTGTTTATTCGTTTAGTCGTGTCTGACTCTTTGTAACCCCATGGACCAGAGCACGCCAGGCACTCCTGTCTTCCACTGCCTCCCACAGTTTGGTCAAACTCATGTTGGTAGCTTCAAGAACACTGTTGGCTACTGATGGCTAAATCAGAATTTTCTTTCTTCAAGCATCTACTTTTCAGGACATGGTTACCTTCTTAAAATCTCCAACGGGTGAAAGATATATAATACTTGAGATTTTCATCCTTGCTGCCATGACACTGCTGCTTTTCCTTCTATGTAAGTAAATAATAATAATAATAATAATAATAATAATAATAATAATAATTTATTACTTATATCCCCACCCATCTGGCTGAGTTTCCCCAGCCACTCTGGGCGGCTCCCAATCAAGTATTAAAAACAATACAGTATTGAATATTAAAAACTTCCGTGAACAGGGCTGCCTTCAGATGTCTTTTAAAGATAGGATAGCTACTTATTTCCTTAACATCTGAAGGGAGGGTGTTCCACAGGGTGGGCGCCACTTCTGAGAAGGCCCTCTGTCTGGTTCCCTGTAACCTTATTTCTCGCAATGAGAGAACTGCCAGAAGGCCCTCGGTGCTGGATCTCAGTGTCCGGGCTGAATGATGGGGGTGGAGACGCTCCTTCAGGTATACAGGACCGAGGCAGTTTAGGGCTTTAAAGGTCAGCACCAACACTTTGAATTGTGCTCGGAAACGTACTGGGAGCCAATGCAGATCTCTCAGAACCAGTGTTATGTGGTCCCGGCGGCCACTACCAGTCACCAGTCTAGCTGCCGCATTCTGGATTAATTGCAGTTTCCGGGTCACCTTCAAAGGTAGCCCCACGTAGAGCGTGTTGCAGTAGTCCAAGAGGGAGATAACCAAAGCATTCACCACTCTGGAGAGGCAGTCCACGGGCAGGTAGGGTCTTAGCCTGCATACTAGGTGGAGCTGGTAGACAGCTGCCCTGGACACAGAATTAACCTGCGCCTCCATGGACAGCTGTGAGTCCAAAATGACTCCCAGGCTGCGCACCTGGTCCTTCAGGGGCACAGTTACCCCATTCAGGACCAGGGAATCCCCCACACCCGCCCACCCCCTGTCCCCCAAAAACAGTACTTCTGTCTTGTCAGGATTCAACCTCAATCTGTTAGCCGCCATCCATCCTCCAACCACCTCCAGGCACTCACACAGGACCTTCACCGCCTTCACTGGTTCTGATTTAAAGGAGAGGTAGAGCTGGGTGTCATCTGCATACTGATGAACACCCAGCCCAAACCCCCTGATTATCTCTCCCAGCGGCTTCATATAGATATTAAGCATAAAGTAAAGGTAAGGGGACCCCTGACCATTAGGTCCAGTCGTGCCCGACTCTGGGGTTGCGGCACTCATCTCGCTTTACTGGCCGAGGGAGCCGGTGCACAGCTTCCAAGTCAAGTGGCCAGCATGACTAAGCCACTTCTGGCGAAGCAGAGCAGCGCACGGAAACGTTGTTTACCTTCCCGCTGGAGCGGTACCTATTTAGCTACTTGCACTTTGACGTGCTTTTGAACTGCTAGGTTGGCAGGAGCAGGGACCGAGCAACGGGAGCTCACTCCGTCGCGGGGATTCGAACCGCCGACTTTCTGATCAGCAAGTCCTAGGCTCTGTGGTTTAACCCACAGTGCCACCCGCGTCCCTAGATATTAAGCATACTTTCAACTAATGTCATGTGCTTTGCTTAAATGTCAATAGCATTTCCAAAAAGAGATGGCTGGATCCACCTTCCATTTACCCCTTTCATCTCTCTTTGATTTCTGGGGGTGAGTTACAGCTGTCACCCACTGAGAGCAATGGCACTGTTTTGTTCCCCGTGAATAAGTGACTTCCAGCTCTTGGAACAGAAGCACAGGCTGACACAAGTCCCTGGAACACCCTGGACAATTCCCTTTCCCAACTAATCCTCATTTGCTTGTGGGAAAGCCCTGTGATGGAAACGTTTCTTTTCTGAGCAGGTTGAGTCATCTAGTGTCCCCCCCACCCCACCCCTGCCAGCAAACACTTAACTAACAACAGCACCTGATTGGCCAGCATTCCAAGGGAGGCAATTGGAGTGGAGTGAGGGAGTGGGAGAGAGGAATTCGGTCTGTGAGTTGGATTCTGTTAGGAGAGTTTGTTCTGACAGGTGGTAGAGCTGAAGAGAGCTGAGAACTCTCAGTATATGCTCTAAGGTTCTGAATCGCAGAACTCTGTTAAAATAGACAAGACACAGTCCCACAAGCTGTTTACAGGAAAAAAGGGTCCTCAGAGGGGATACTCTGACTGGAAAGGGCAATAGTGATTCCAAGGCCAAGGAGGATTTGAGGGTCTGTAAGGAAACATTCCAGTTAAAATCCTAAGTTCCTGAAATGAGCGTGGAGAAGTCTGGTCTATGAAAGATGTGTAAAAGGAAGTAACCTTAAGCCTGCACAGCATACAGCCTAGAACTTGAAACAGTATATGTTTTAATAAAAAACATCAGCATCACACAGTTAATAACCTCACTGTTTGTTACATTTCTGTGGAAGAAGAACCAAAACTCCTTGTTTACATCTGTTGTAATAAAGTTTGTTTGCAACCTGTTTCCCCAAAAGTAAAAGCCACAGTTGCTCGTGATTCATTCTCCATTGGGGGAATGCACCTGAGGGAAGGGAAACTGATGCTGGCACAGCGGTGCCAGAGGGAGAAAGAGTGCCATTGCGTCGCCGCAGGCTCCATTCCTGATCCTCGCCAGCCTGCCCTCTGCTAGGGCTCCAGTCCCCTGAAGGAAAGTGCTTGGGGAATACAGGCTGCAGAGGATAAGGCCATGGCCAAAGTGGGTGGGTCCAGAGCCTACCTAAATATTGAGATATATGCAGGGCTTTTTTCAGCTGAAATTCATCAGGACCCTGTTCTGGCCCCTCTCAGGTGGGCGCCATTTGCCACTTTAAGAGAAGAAGGGAGGCATTCATGCTGAGTTCCAGCACCTCTTTTTGCAGAAAAATAGCACTGGATAGATGAGCCCTTGACCTATTTGAACACCTAATTCATTTTTAAAGGGCACTTGAAAGTAAGCAAAGCTCGGGGGGGGGGGTCAAATGATCCAAGAATTTGCATATTTTAAGCATGTGGCAGAGCATGAGGCAGCCTGGCAAATGCAAGACTGTAGGACAAAGAGGACAGGTGTATCTAGACAACCAAAAATCCAAAGCTCTCAAAGGAAGGCCAAACCATCTAATGACAGAAGTAACAGGCCAAATGGAAACAGGACTTCAGATCAGCAGGGCAACCGCTATCAAGGGCTGAGAGCAGAAAATATTAATAAAAGTCATAGCCATGGTTTTGTTGATTTGATATCTCATCTGCATTACAAGTCAGCAATTTAAATTCAATATTAAAAGCAGTTTGAAACCAAGTATCCCCTCCCCCAGTTAATCAGACAATTTAATCATTTCTTTTCTACCTACTTCATCCTTAGATCAAAAGGAACTAAAAAGAAGGATGGAGTTTCAAATGGCAATGGATATCATTCGGACCTTTGTTGTTGGGCTTGATACAATCCATGAAGACAAGGATGGTAAGCATTTTTTTATCACTGTTTCATTGCTCAGCAGGAAGAAAAGCAGATGGTTGTGATTCTCACATCCCCCCACTAGCATTTTTTTATGCACATCCTCATTTTTGCTAGACCTTGTTTAATTTAAACAGGCTTCAATTCCTGTAGTTCACTTTGGGATTCATATTGTGTAAGCAATACATTTATTCAATGAAACTCATCACCCAATAGAGTTTATCACAGTTTCATTGCTCAGCAGGAAGAAAAGCAGATGGTTGTGATTTTCCCACTAGAAATGCTGTCCTCCTCCCATCAAACAATGTTTGTGCTATTGCAAGATTTGTGCTACTGCAAGCTTTTAGCACTGGCACAAGGGAACTTTGCCCCCACTTCTCCCTGCATGCCATCACCAAAGCTGCTCTGGAGGGTGGGGGAAACTTCAGAACAGATTGGAGGGAAAGGGGCTGAAGATTGCATTGCACAAGGAGAAATTCCTGCACGGACATAATGTCATCCTTAGAATTATGTGGAATGCAACACAATATTCATCAGAAAAAGAGTTCTGGCGCCTCTATTTTCTTAGATCTCACAAAGCATAATGTTGTTGTCGTTGTTTAGTCATTTAGTCATGTCTGAATCTTCATGACCTCATGGACCAGAACACGCCAGGCACTCCTGTCTTCCACTGCCTCCCGCAGTTTGGTCAAACTCATGTTTGTAGCTTCAAGAACACTGTCCAGCCATCTCGTCCACTGTCGTCCCCTTCTCCTTGTGCCCTCCATCTTTCCCAACATCAGGGTCTTTTCCAGGGAGTCTTCTCTTCTCATGAGGTGGCCAAAGTATTGGAGTCTCAGCCTCAGGATCTGTCCTTCAAGTGAGCACTCAGGGCTGATTTCCTTCAGAATGGATTGGTTTGATCTTCTTGCAGTCCATGGGACTCTCAAGAGTCTTCGGCGATCAGCCTTCTTTATGGTCCAGCTCTCACTTCCATACATCACTACTGGGAAAACCATAGCTTTTACTATACGGACCTTTATTGGCAAGGTGATGTCTCTGCTTTTTAAGATGCTGTCTAGGTTTGTCATTGCTTTTCTCCCAAGAAGCAGGCCTCTTTTAATTTCGTGACTGCTGTCACCATCTGCAGTGATCATGGAGCCCAAGAAAGTAAAATCTCTCACTGCTTCCATTTCTTCCCCTTCTATTTGCCAGGAGGTGATGGGCCCAGTGGCCATGATCTTCGTTTTTTTGATGTTGAGCTTCAGACCATATTTTGCACTCTCCTCTTTCACCCTCATTAAAAGGTTCTTTAATTCCTCCTCACTTTCTGCCATCAAGGTTGTGTCATCTGCATATCTGAGGTTGTTGATATTTCTTCCGGCAATCTTAATTCCAGCTTGGGATTCATCCAGCCCAGCCTTTCGCATGATGCATATAAATTAAATAAGCAGGGAGACAAAATACAGCCTTGTCGTACTCCTTTCCCAATTTTGAACCAATCAGTTGTTCCATATCCAGTTCTAAATGTAGCTTCTTGTCCCACATAGAGATTTCTCAGGAGACAGATGAGGTGATCAGGCACTCCCATTTCTTTAAGAACTTGCCATAGTTTGCTGTGGTCGACACAGTCAAAGGCTTTTGCATAGTCAATGAAGCAGAAGTAGATGTCTTTCTGGAACTCTCTAGCTTTCTCCATAATCCAGCACATGTGTGCAATTTGGTATCTGGTTCCTCTGCCCCTTCGAAATCCAGCTTGCAATTCTGGGAGTTCTCGGTCCACATACAGCTTAAGCCTGCCTTGTAGAATTTTAAGCATAACCTTGCTAGCATGTGAAATGAGTGCAATTGTGCGGTACTTGGAGCATTCTTTGGCACTGCCCTTCTTTGGGATTGGGATGTAGACTGATCTTCTCCAATCCTCTGGCCACTGCTGAGTTTTCCAATCTTGCTGGCATATTGAGTGTAGCACCTTAACAGCATCATCTTTTAAAATTTTAAATAGTTCAGCTGGAATACCATCACTTCCACTGGCCTTATTATTAGCAGTGCTTTCTAAGGCCCATTTGACTTCACTCTCCAGGATGTCTGGCTCAAGGTCAGCAACCACACTACCTGGGGTGTACGAGACATCCATATCTTTCTGGTATAATTCCTTTGTGTATTCTTGCCACCTCTTCTTGATGTCTTCTGCTTCTGTTAGGTCCTTACCACTTTTGTCCTTTATTATGGTCATCTTTGTACGAAATGTTCCTTTCATATCTCCAATTTTCTTGAACAGATCTCTGGTTTTTCCCATTCTATTGTTTCCCTCTGAGGGACGCGGGTGGCGCTGTGGGTAAAAGCCTCAGCGCCTAAGGCTTGCCGATCGAAAGGTCGGCAGTTTGAATCCCTGCGGCGGGGTGCGCTCCCACTGCTCGGTCCCAGCGCCTGCCAACCTAGCAGTTTGAAAGCACCCCTGGGTGCAAGTAGATAAATAGGGACCGCTTACCAGCGGGAAGGTAAACGGCGTTCCGTGTGCTGCGCTGGCTCGCCAGATGCAGCTTTGTCACGCTGGCCACGTGACCCGGAAGTGTCTCCGGACAGCGCTGGCCCCCGGCCTCTTGAGTGAGATGGGCGCACAACCCCAGAGTCTGTCAAGACTGGCCCGTACGGGCAGGGGTACCTTTACCTTTACCTTTATTGTTTCCCTCTATTTCTTTGCATTGGTCATTTAAGAAGGCCTTCTTTTCTCTCCTTGCTATTTTTTTTGAAATCTGCATTCAATTTCCTGTATCTTTCACTATCTCCCTTGCATTTTGCTTGCCTTCTCTCCCCCGCTATTTGTAAGGCCTCGTTGGACAGCCACTTTGCTTTCTTGCATTTCCTTTTCATTGGGATGGTTTTCGTTGCTGCCTCCTGTATAATGTTATGAGCCTCCATCCATAGTTCTTCAGGCACTCTGTCCACCAAATCTCAATCCTTAAACCTGTTCCTCACTTCCACTATGTATTCATAAGGGATTTGATTTAGATTGTATCTTACCGGCCCAATGGTTTTTCCTACTTTCTTCAGTTTAAGCTTGAATTTTGCTACAAGAAGCTGATGATCTGAGCCACAGTCAGCTCCAGGTCTTGTTTTTGCGGAGTGTATAGAGCTTCTCCATCTTTGGCTACAGAGAATATAATCAATCTGATTTCGATGCTGCCCATCTGGTGATGTCCCTGTGTAGAGTCGTCTCTTGTGTTGTTGGAAAAGAGTGTTTGTGATGACCAGCTTATTCTCTTGGCAGAACTCTATTAGCCTTTGCCCTGCTTCATTTTGAACTCCAAGGCCAAACTTGCCAGTTTTTCCTTTTAGCTCTTGACACCCTACTTTAGCATTCCAACCCCCTATAATGAGAAGAACATCCTTCTTTGGTGTCATTTCTAGCAGGTGTTGTAAGTCTTCATAGAATCGATCAATTTCAGTTTCTTCAGCAGCAGTAGTTAGTGCATAAACTTGGATTACTGTGATGTTAAAAGGTCTACCTTGGCTTCGTATTGAGATCATTCTATCATTTTTGAGATTGCATCCCAGTACAGCTTTCACCACTCTTTTGTTGACTATGAGGGCCACTCCATTTCTTTTATGGGATTCTTGCCCACAGTAGTAGATATGATGGTCATCAAAACTGAATTTGCCCATTCCCATCCATTTTAGTTCACTGATGCCAGGATGTCAATATTTATTCTTGCCATCCCATTTTTGACCACATCCAGCTTACCAGGGTTCATGGTTCTTACATTTCATGTTCCTATGCAATATTTTTATTTACAACATTGGACTCTCCCTTCGCTTGCAGGCATATCCACAACGGAGCGACCTTTTGGCTTTGGCCCAGCACTTCATCAGCTCTGAATCTACTTGTACTTGTCCTCCGCTCTACTTGTACTTGTCCTCCCCTCTTCCTCAGTAGCATGTTGGACACCTTCCGACCTGAGGGGCTCATCTTCCAGCGTCATAACTTTTATATGCCTATTGTCTTTTTCCATGGGGTTTTCTTGGCAGGGATACTAGAGTGGCTTGCCGGTTCCTGCTCCAGGTGGATCGTGTTTTGTCAAAACACTCCACTATGACCTGTCCATCAGGGTGGCCATGCATGGCATAGCTCACAGCTTCTCTGAGTTATTCAAGCCCCTTCGCCACAGCAAGGCACTGATCCATGAAGGGGACAAAGCATAATAGAAAACTGCAAAGTAATCTTTGTATACAGTGGTGCCCCGCAAGACGAATGCCTCACAAGACAAAAAACTCGCTAGACGAAAGGCTTTTCCGTTTTTTGAGTCGTTCTGCAAGACGAATTTCCCTATGGGCTTGCTTCACAAGACGAAACGTCTTGCGAGTTCTTGCGAGTTTGTTTCATTTTTCTTAAAGCCGCTAAGCCACTAAGCCGTTAATAGCCGCTAAGCCGCTAATAGCCGTGCTTCACAAGACGAAAAAACCGTAAGACGAAGAGACTCACGGAACGGATTAATTTTGTCTTGCGAGGCACCACTGTATTTGGCTTTACTGTGTGACTCAGTGGGGAATTGGTTTTTGACCCTGTGATTCCCTGCAGAAAATGAGAACATAGGAGGGGAACATTAGAGATACTTCATGAGCCACTTTTAATATGAGAATAGGATAGTGGATTGCATGGGTCTTAAAATGTTTTAAAATGTTTGAAAATGGTTTCTTAATATTTACAGATTGTTATTTCAGATACTCTTTTGCCTTAAACTATTTCAAATCTTTTAGACTTCGGAATACTCGCTGTAGCTCAAAACGTATCAGACGAATTGCTGTATCTTGCCAACAAAAATGATGAACTGCAAAAAGAAATTGGTAAGCTACCCTACGATGCTGAAGAATTGTAGTGCAGTGGGAACCTGCCCTGAGTCTGCGCCAGCTGAAAGCCCCTCCTCTAGCTGAAAACTCTTAGAGCCAGAGCAGAGTGCTGCGCTCCTTTGCATGGGGCCACCCTAGAGAAACATCAGAGATATTTAGTTCAGATCTCCTGAACCTTTGAATTGACTTAGCCTCTATGGTTAGGAAAGAAAAGACTTTTCCATTCTTTGCTATAACAGAGACAATCAAAACAGGTAAGGTAAAAGACCTGTCCTTTATTATTTTCACCCATGAGAGCCCTGCCTCTGCAGAGACAATCAAAAGAGGTCAACTGAAAGAGAGAGATTCATGAGCAGCACTTCAAAGGCAACTTCCGCCAACTTGGTCAGAGAGACTGCTGGGCAGTGGGGTGGTTGGTGCAACAGCAAAATCTCTCTCCTGTTTCACAAACCCATCATCAGACAGAAACCCTCAAGCGCACTCACATAGTGAATTGACCCCTTGGCCACTGAACACATAATAGGTAAAGTGATTATAAAATTGTCTATAAAGCTTTAGATGCGAGAGCAAAGAATGGGAATGAACGCATTGTCAGGGAGAGGCAAATGGGGAAAGAGCTAAGGGGAAAGACCAGCACTTATAGAGAGCCGAAAGAGATCATTAGTAGTCTGTCGTCTGACAGCGAAGAGGAGGCAGGGAGGGGGGCAGGATGAGCCCAGAACTAGTCATTCTGCAAACAGTGGAAATCAGAGGCGTGGTTTCCACAGACTTGCATGTTGGGCAAGAAAAAGTAAAAAGAAACCAGACGCGGCATCTTGGCCGACAGGGTCGGACATGCTCTGAAGCACTGGAGATGTTCCTTTGAACTTTGTAAATAAATCAAAGAGATTGTAACTGGCAGCGAGCCTGGAGTTTTTATCTATGCCAGCTTGGCAGCACACACCTCTTACAGCATGCCGTGTCCCCAATTTGCTGCTGGAAAGCTGGTGGAATAAGGAATAAGCCTCAGAATGGAGAAGGAGGTCTTGGAACTGAGAAAGCGAAATGTCGCTCTGGAACAGAGATTGTCCGACTTGCAGGCCCGTCTGGAAGAAGCCAGAGCTGCTCAGAGAGAACCCACAGGTGGGCTATCGGCAGATGGGGCAAGTCAGTGTGGGTGGAACGGTTCCATGGTGACCCGGAAAGTTACTTGGATTTCAAAACCGAGATGCGATATTTTTTAGAGCTTGAATAGGCCAAGTTAGGGAACGATGCCCAGAAAGTTGCTCACATAATTAGACACCTGGCTGGAGGGGCTAGAAGTTGGATCCGTCTGTTAATAGCCTCGAATAATGAAGCTCTCAGAAATGTGGCCATGTTTTGGCAAGCTATGGACTTTATCTATGCAGATCAAAGTTTAATTGACAAGACGCAGGAGGAGCTTTTGGCTTTGAAACAAGGCAGATCCACGGTACACAGTTAATGGTCAGAATTTGCTATGCTCGTGCAGAAACTGGGTTGCGATTTAGAGGCAGACCCTGTACAAGCTTTGTTTAAAAATGGACTTAACCCAGAAATTAAGGACGAGCTTGCAAGGGGCAAAAATATGGATGAATTAACGAAGGCTGCTCTTGCGGTGGGTTTGAGACAGGAAGCCAGATGGCGGGAAAGGAAGCAAGGCAGAGAGCGGAGTTTCCATGGTGACCGCATTCTTGAGATGCCTGCAGCTGCCTCAGAACGTCAACAAGAGCAGGAGCCCATGGAGATAGGCACAGCCTGGGCGCAGGAGAGTTTGAAAGCCCACTGGTCGGGCGGGAAGGAGAAAAAAGACTGGCAAGCGGCAAAAAGATGTTTTGTGTGTCAGAAAACTGGGCACTTTGCCAGAGTGTGTCCAGAGTGTCGTAACTGGCAGGGAATGGTGGGGGCCACCCAACAGGCAGAGGTAGAGGAAGCCCAGCCTTTGGGAAATGAAGAAGCCTGGCTGGTGATGGACCGGGGCAACAGCCAGGCGGGAGCAACACAGAAAGTCCTCGGCCTGGGCACCCCAAAGCAAGCATAGTGTTGAAGGTGGTCCTAGAACTCCCAAATGGCCAGGCGGTGGAGGAGTTGGTGCTAGTTGATTCTGGTGCTTCAGCATCCTTTTTTAGCAAGGAATTTGCAGCGCAGCACCAACTAAACCTGAGGCCTTTGGATTTTCTGCTGCAAATGACCACAATTGATGGAAGAGAACTGCTGGGAGGTGAAGTGACGCATCGAACACCTCCAATGCGAATGTGGGTGGCTACCCACTCCGAAGTCATCGCCTTTCACATGGCTACACTGGCGGGTCTGCCTGTCATATTGGGCATGAGCTGGTTGGCTTTGCACGATCCGGTGGTTTCCTGGCACCAACGGTCCCTGACGTTCGGTTCGACGCACTGCGTGGAGAACTGCCTGGCTCAAGGGCAACCTCAACAAAGGGAGGGCAGGAGGGCAGCAGCATGCAAAGCGAGGACGACCGAGATTCCGTCGTTTTACAGGGATCTACAGGAGGTGTTCAGCGAGAAAGAGGCTGACGTGTTGCCGCCGCATCGACCATATGATTGTCCGATCAACCTGGTCCCGGGGGCCACGTTGCCGGTGGGAAAGACCTATTCCATGTCGGAGGGAGAGCTCAAGAACCTAAAGGAGTTTATTGAGAAAAATCTAAGAAGGGGGTTCATCAGGGAATCGAAGGCAGCAGAGGGAGCCCCGTGTTCTTCGTGGACAAGAAATCGACTAAAGAAAGGAGGCGTGTAGTGGACTTTAGAATCCTGAACAGCCTGACGGAACCGGTGGCTTTCCCAATGCCGAGGATTGACGATGTTCTGGCCCGGGTGCGGAAAGGGAAGATTTTCACCAAACTGGACCTCCGGGGGGCATACAACCTCATCCGAGTACAAGAGGGGGATGAGTGGAAGACCACCATGTTCACCCTGATGGGGGCGTTTGAGTATCTAGTCATGCCCTTCGGTTTGCAGTGCGGAAGTCACTGTTTCCAAGCCTTCATGCACCACGTACTAGGACCTTTGCTGTACAAGAACTGTGTTTGCTTTTTGGACGACTTGCTCGTGTACTCCAAAGACAAGAAACAGCACGTGAAGGACGTACGTCAGGTCCTGAGCAAACTTAAGGAGCATCGCTTGTGGGTCAAGCTGTAGAAATGTCAGTTCCACGCAATGGAAGTCAAATTCCTGGGGTACCGGCTGTCGGACCAGGGTTTGGCCATGGATCCGGAGAAAGTGAAGGCGGTGGTGGAATGGGAGAGTCCCAAGACCAGGAAAGATGTTCAGCGTTTCCTGGGTTTCAGCAATTTCTACAGGAAATTCATCAAAGATTTCGCAAAACTGACGGTGCCCATAACGGACTGTCTCAGTGTCAAGAAGAGGTTTCAGTGGACGCAGGGGGCCCAAAAGGGGTTTGAGAAGCTTAAGAGGGCTTTTGCTTCGGAGGAGCAACTGATCCACGTCGACCCTGCTCAACCACTACGGGTGGAGACAGATTCATCGGATCAGGCTATAGGGGCGGTGCTGCTGCAGCCAGATCGAAAGGGGGAGTGGCGGCTGTGTGCTTTTTTTCGCAGAAACTGAACAAATCAGAGCAGAACTGCACCATCTATGATAAGGAATTGCTTTCGATCGTCGCTGCTTTCAAACAATGGAGGCACTTCCTGACTGAGGCAAAGCACCAAATTTTGGTGTGCACTGACCACAAAAATTTGGAGTACTGGCGTATGGCACGGGTGTTGTGCCAGAGACAGATAAGATGGGCAGAGTTCTTTGCCAACTTCAACTTTAAGATCCAATATGTGCCGGGAGAGCAGAATGCGAGGGCGGATGCGCTCTCCCGGAAACCCGAGTATATGATGGGGGAAGGACCTCCGGTGGCAAGACTGATGTTCCTCGAGAGCAAATGGATGTGTGGGGGGACGTTAGTCAAGGACGACGAACTAATGCAACTGCTCGGAGATTATGACTTTGCCAGACAAAAGATGGGGGAGTTAAGAGAAAAAGGGGGTGCCGAGGGGGGTTTTGAAATGAAAGGGGGGCTTCTGTACCATAGGGGGGCCTTGTACTTTCCAGGAGAAAACCTTCGGGGCAGAATTCTCAAGCAACTGCACGACAGCTGCACGACAGGGCATTTTGGACAGCATAAGACCATGCTACTGGTCACACGGGAATTTTGGTGGCCAAGGGTGAGAGAGGATGTAAAGGAATATGTGCGAGGGTGCGACACATGCCAGAGGGCCAAAGGGGAAAGGGTGGCACCAGCGGGGTTGCTGGAACCGTTGCCGACACCCGGAAAGCCATGGAAGGTGGTAGGGGTGGATTTTATCACTGATCTGCCCAGATGTAAGGGTCAGACCACTATCATGTTGGTGGTGGATCTCCTGACCAAAATGTGCCATTTCGTGCCCTGTTCGCACACCCTGACGGCGGAAGAAACAGCCAAGCTGTTCGTAGAGCATGCGTTTAGGTTACATGGGGTACCTGCATGGGTGGTTTCAGACCGGGGGGCTCAATTCACCTCACGTTTTTGGCGCAAACTCATGGGGTTGCTCCAGGTGGAAGTGAGTTTCACTACGGCTAGGCACCCCGAGACCAATGGGCAAGCGGAGAGGGCGAATGCTGTTTTACAACAGTATTAGCGGTGTTATGTAAGTCAAAAACAGAACGATTGGGTGGACAAACTAGCCCTGGCAGAGTTTGCTTACAATAACGCGGAGAATGTATCCACTGGGATGACTCCCTTCTTTGCCAATCACGGGCGTCATCCCAGGGCTTTCCCCGGAAGGGGGGGGGAGTCGTGGAGTGTTCCCGCAGCCGAACACTTTGTCGAGGAGATGGAGGCGATCCACAGACAGCTGCAGTTGAATTTGGATAGGGTTAAGGAGTTATACAAGAAGGAAGCCGACAAACATCGGCGGCCGGGGGAGGTCATCAGGGTTGGGGACAAGGTGTGGTTGTCCACGCAAGGGTTGCCTTGGAGAGGGGGCTGCAAAAAGCTCAAGCCCCGGAAGGTGGGGCCTTTTGAGGTTATCCAACAAATAAATCCGGTGGCGTTTAAGCTTAGGTTGCCAGAGAGCATGAGAATCCATCCGGTGTTCCACAGGTCACTGCTGTTCCACTACAGGGAGGGGGGAGGAGGCAGGGTAGTGGGGAAGGGGAAAGCCCACCACCCGAAATGGAGGAAAGGGAGCAGTGCAACAAGGTAACGGAAATACTGGACTCTCGTTGGAGAGGGGGGAATTTGGAATATTTGGTGGCGTGGGAAGGGGCCCCGACATCAGAGAATACCTGGGTCCCGGAAGACAGTATCACCGACAAGGGCCTGGTGGAGGGGTTCCACAGTTTTTCCCCTGACAAACCAAAAACCAGGGGTAGGTTCTTTCAACAGGTGTTCGAAACAACAGACGATGAAGCGGAATTCGAAGGTTTCCCAGCATCGGACGAGGAGGAGGAAGAAGATGAAGGCGTAGACTGGGGAACACCAGGAATTGGGGGTTGGAGGGGGGTGTTCGAAGAGACGGATAAAGAAGAGGATAGTATTGCTGGCTTCTCCCCTACCACCCCAGAGGAAAGAGATATGGGTACAGTCGGGCCTCCTGAGTGGGAGGGGGCCTTTGAGGAGGGGGTGGATGTCAGGGAGAGGCAAACGGGGAAAGAGCTAAGGGGAGAGACCAGCACTTATAGAGAGCTGAAAGAGATCATTAGTAGTCTGTCGTCTGACAGCGAAGAGGAGGCAGGGAGGGGGTAGGATGAGCCCGGAACTAGTCATTCTGTAAACAGAGGAAATCAGAGGCGTGGTTTCCACAGACTTGCATGTTGGGCAAGAAAAAGTAAAAATAAACCAGACACGGCATCTTTGCCGACAGGGTCGGACATGCTCTGAAGCACTGGAGATGTTCCTTTGAACTTTGTAAATAAATCAAAGAGATTGTAACTGGCAGCGAGCCTGGAGTTTTTATCTATGCCGGCTTGGCAGCACACACCTCTTACACGCATATTACGTCAATTGTACATAAAAAGCAAGCTAAAGATGTTCAGCACCAAAGCACACATTTTGTGAGAGTTGTATAATGCCATTTCCCTCTTTCTCTTTGACCTTTAGAAATATGACTGCCTTTAAAGACATTGTTCCAAAACCAGGTCTAAATCCTGATTGACAAGGATCTAGAAAATCAGTTTTCTCCAAGAGCACCTGGATCTGGTCCATAACCACCCACTCAAGAACCTTGCACAGGAAGGGGAGATTAGCAACCGGCAGGCAGTTACTTAGATTTTCTGAGCACAGGGAAGATTTCTTTAGGAGTGGTTTTACCACTCCTGCCTTCAAGCAGGTTGGGACCAGCCCCTCTTATAAAGAGGCATTAATCACCTTTCTAGTCCAGCCAGCTGTCCCTTCCCTACTAGTTTGTATCAGCCACAAGGGGCAGGGTCCAGTGTACAAGTGGTTGTCCTGACCGATCCAAGGACCTTGTCCACATTCTTGAACCTTGTCTCATCAGCCCTGGTCAGGGAAGTTTTAAATGGTTGGTGTTCAATTGTGTTTTAATTTTTTGGAAGTAGCCCAGAGTGGTTGGGGGAAACCCAGTCAGATGGGCAGCATATTATTATTATTATTATTATTATTATTATTATTATTATTATTATTCGGATGTCCAGAAATCAGCCAAAGCTCAGCAGGAGCACCTGTCAGATCAGCTGGAAAATCCCCCAGAGCCATTTGGAAGCCCACTGGATTTGGAAGCCCACTGGATCCATCCTGTCAGCTCAGGCAGGGAGACTGCTTGGCAGCAAACCAGGTGGTAAACCAGCAGAATCCCTCATCTGTCCCAGTTGCCCAATGCCAGCAACACACTAGATTCCTGCCCCCTCTGCAACTGAACAGAGAGCTTGTAGAGAGAAAGAGAATTTTGATAAACTACTCCCCCTTCCCAACCTTCAAGTCTGCCCTGATGCTGCCCTAAGTATCCAGGTGGAAACAAGTAGGTGAGGTTCTTCTGTGCTCCCTGTTCCAGCTATGCCCACCCAGGTATTTACTGCAGCATCAACATGGGTTGAAGAGTTAATGTTGTTCTTGTTTTATGATTTTTGAGCTTCCTAGATGAATATATGTTATCATGTGGCGAGAGAAATTAACTTAACAAAAACAATTGAAATCTGCACAGACATATAAGGTGGTTCCCATTAAATTCCCTATCTTGTTTTCTTTTTCTCTTCTTCCTCCATATCTGGCTTGACTCAAAGACCTCCTTATTGGAAACTTGAATGACGGTTGGATTATATATCAAAGGACTTTCTATTTGTTGTCTCGTGACCAAGATTCATGGGCGAATTCCCAAAAAAAGTGTGAGAGGGAAGGCGCCAAGCTCCTTTCTATGGAAACATATCAAGAACAGGTGAGCATCAAAGCTAAGTATAGGAAAGGCAGGGGATCTTCTTGAGCCAAAGGGCTCCTATCATCACTATCCATTTAGGAAGGTTACATGTACCTGTACGCAGCCAAGACAGCAACTCCATCAGTCAAGCCAAGGGGTGGGAGGGGCAGGGAGAGCTGCTACCATCTGGGACTCAATAAGGTTTCTTGGAACTGCTGAGCTCTAATAGAATGAAGCTGGCAGTCAGGATAGAGATTTTCAAGGAGGAGGAGGAGTAGATACTTCAGAGGCATCTATCACTTGGCTTCTCTGTAAATTCTTCCTCTGTTCTTTGTGATGTATTCAGTTGTTGGGGGGGAGGGGAAGGCTACCCTCACCATGCTAACCTTCTGGCAGGAGAGTATCATGGAGATGACTCTAGAGGAGCTTGCAAGGTATATCCCTCTCCCAGCCCCTTAGCTCTGGCACAGGGGCTACTGGGGTGCTGCAGGGCACAGACATGGGTGAGACCCCATCGTCATGCCATCAAGCATACCACAACTGGACTGATTCCAGTGTCTCTGGAACCAACCATCAAACATGGATGCAGAAATTGGAGTATTTGACACACAGGTCACTGTCCTGCTAGGTGGTTCCAAGACCAACTGTTCTCTGGCACCGTCATTTACAGTATCTGGAAATTATAACTCTGTGTCATGACTGGAAGGCATATGTAGCCAGTCTCGGTGAGGGCAGGTGAAGTTCCCCTTCACTACAATATTTCCTCTTTGGGTTTCTTCCTTGATTCCATCACCATCATCTTCGTCATTCATCATCATCATCACCATCAGCATCATAATTTTGATCAGGGGGACAATACCACATCCACTGTACAAAATTATTATTGGTGATGGGAATACAATGTATAGTTTTGATCACTGCTTTTAAAATGTGTTTGCTTTATGCCTCTTGAATTTCTGTAAAGGGCTATAGTCTCCCAGAGAAAGGGACATTGTCTTAAAAGATTTTATTTGTTCTTTCTCAACACCCCTACTCTAGTATTTTATAAACAGGCAAGTACAAAATCGTGAGAAGTTTTTTTGGTTTGGAGTCTTTAAAGACAACAAAGCGAAATGGAGATGGCTGTCAGGAGTAGAGGCTTTAGTCACGTAAGTTTCTGCAGAAACATATGTTAATGGCATACATTCCAAAAAGTTGCAGATTCTCTTTACATAATTGATCTTTTCCCTTTCCAAATATATTTTGCCATGCAATATTCTCTACTACCAAAGACCTACATATGTACTCCTCCACATCATTGCCCAGATGAGCGGCTGCTGCTTCTCACTAGGTTGAAGAGGCAGGAAGGCTACTCTTCCTGCTTCTCTAACCTAGTGAATGTGGTGATTCGGAAGAGGCTGAAGGCATGCTTTTAAATGGTTTGTGCTGATTAGTTCAGCTTCAAAAGGACTTGCGGGAACCTAAAGCTGAGCAACTCCTTCATGGATCACTGCCTTGCCGTGGCGAAGGGGCTTGAATAACTCAGAGAAGCTATGAGCTATGCCGTGCAGGGCCACCCAAGATGGACAGGTCATAGTGGAGAGTTTTGACCAAACGTGATCCACCTGGAGCAGGAACTGGCAAGCCACTCCAGTATCCCTGCCAAGAAAACTCCATGGACAAAGACAACAGGCATATAAAAGTTATGACGCTGGAAGATGAGCCCCTCAGGTCGGAAGGTGTCCAACATGCTACTGGGGAAGAGCGGAGGACAAGTACAAGTAGATCCAGAGCTGATGAAGCGGCTGGGCCAAAGCCGAAAGGACGCTCAGTTGCGGATATGCATGGAAGCGAAAGGAAAGTCCAATGCTGTAAAGAAAAATATTGCATAGGAACCTGGAATGTAAGAACCATGAACCTGGGTAAGTTGGATGTGGTCAAAAATGAGATGGCAAGAATAAATATTGACATCTTGGGCATCAGTGAACTAAAATGGACGGGAATGGGCGAATTCAGTTTGGATGACTATCATATCTACTACTGTGGACAAGAAACCCGTAAAAGAAATGGAGTGGCCCTCATAGTCAACAAAAGTGTGGTGAAAGCTGTACTGGGATGCAATCTCAAAAATGATAGAATGATCTCGATACGAATCCAAGGCAGACCTTTTAACATCACAGTAATCCAAGTTTATGCACCAACTACTGGTGCTGAAGAAACTGAAATTGACCAATTCTATGAAGACTTACAAGACCTTATAGAAATGACACCAAAGAAGGATGTTCTGCTCATAATAGGGGATTGGATTGCTAAAGTAGGGAATCAAGAGATAAAAGGAACAACTGGCAAGTTTGGCCTTGGAGTTCAAAACGAAGCAGGGCAAAGGCTAATAGAGTTCTGTCAAGAGAACAAGCTGGTCATCACAAACACGCTTTTCCAACAACACAAGAGACGACTCTACACATGGACATCACCAGATGGGCAGCATCGAAATCAGATTGATTATATTCTCTGCAGCCAAAGATGGAGAAGCTCTATACAGTCAGCAAAAACAAGACCTGGAGCTGACTGTGGCTCAGATCATCAGCTTCTTATAGCAAAATTCAAGCTTAAACTGAAGAAAGTAGGAAAAACCACTGGGCCGGTAAGATACAATCTAAGTCAAATCCCTTATGAATACACAGTGGAAGTGAGGAACAGGTTTAAGGATTTAGATTTGGTGGACAGAGTGCCTGAAGAACTATGGATGGAGGCTCGTAACATTATACAAGAGGCAGCAACTAAAACCATCCCAATGAAAAGGAAATGCAAGAAAGCAAAGTGGCTGTCCAACGAGGCCTTACAAATAGCGGGGGAGAGAAGGCAAGCAAAATGCGAGGGAGATAGTGAAAGATACAGGAAATTGAATGCAGATTTCCAAAAAAATAGCAAGGAGAGACAAGAAGGCCTTCTTAAACGAGCAATGCAAAGAAATAGAGGAAAACAATAGAATGGGAAGAACCAGAGATCTGTTCAAGAAAATTGGAGATATGAAAGGAACATTTTGTACAAAGATTTCCATAATAAAAGACAAAAGTGGAAAGGACCTAACAGAAGCAGAAGACATCAAGAAGAGGTGGCAAGAATACACAGAGGAACTATACCAGAAAGAAATTGATGTCTCGTATACCCCAGGTAGTGTGGTTGCTGACCTTGAGCCAGACATCCTGGAAAGTGAAGTCAAATGGGCCTTAGAAAGCATCGCTAATAACAAGGCCAGTGGAAGTGATGATATTCCAGCTGAATTATTTAAAATTTTAAAAGATGATGCTGTTAAGGTGCTACACTCAATATGCCAGCAAATTTGGAAAACTCAGCAGTGGCCAGAAGATTGGAGAAGATCAGTCTACATCCCAATCCCAAAGAAGGGAAGTGCCAAAGAATGCTCCAACTACCGCACAATTGCACTTATTTCACACGCTAGCAAGGTTATGCTTAAAATTCTACAAGGCAGGCTTAAGCAGTATGTGGACCGAGAACTCCCAGAAGTGCAAGCTGGATTTAGAAGAGGCAGAGGAACCAGAGACCAAATTGCAAACATGCGCTGGATTATAGAGAAAGCTAGAGAGTTCCAGAAAGACATCTACTTCTGCTTCATTGACTATGCAAAAGCCTTTGACTGTGTCGACCACAGCAAACTATGGCAAGTTCTTAAAGAAATGGGAGTGCCTGATCACCTCATCTGTCTCCTGAGAAATCTCTATGTGGGACAAGAAGCTACAGTTAGAACTGGATATGGAACAACTGATTGGTTCAAAATTGGGAAAGGAGTACGACAAGGCTGTATATTGTCCCCCTGCTTATTTAACTTATATGCAGAATTCATCATGCGAAAGGCTGGGCTGGATGAATCCCAAGCCGGAATTAAGATCGCCGGAAGAAATATCAACAACCTCAGATATGCAGATGACACAACCTTGATGGCAGAAAGTGAGGAGGAATTAAAGAACCTTTTAATGAGGGTGAAAGAGGAGAGCGCAAAATATGGTCTGAAGCTCAACATCAAAAAAACGAAGATCATGGCCACTGGTCCCATCACCTCCTGGCAAATAGAAGGGGAAGAAATGGAGGCAGTGAGAGATTTTATTTTCTTGGGCTCCATGATCACTGCAGATGGTGACAGCAGCCACGAAATTAAAAGACGCCTGCTCCTTGGGAGAAAGGCGATGGCAAATCTAGACAACATCTTAAAAAGTAGAGCCATCACCTTACCAACAAAGGTCCGTATAGTTAAAGCCATGGTTTTCCCAGTAGTGATGTATGGAAGTGAGAGCTGGACCATAAAGAAGGCTGATCGCCGAAGAATTGATGCTTTTGAATTATGGTGCTGGAGGAGACTCTTGAGAGTCCCATGGACTGCAAGAAGATCAAACGCATCCATTCTTAAGGAAATCAGACCTGAGTGCTCACTGGAAGGACAGATCGTGAAGCTGAGGCTCCAATACTTTGGCCACCTCATGAGAAGAGAAGACTCCCTGGAAAAGACCCTGATGTTGGGAAAGATGGAGGGCACAAGGAGAAGGGGACGACAGAGGATGAGATGGTTGGATAGTGTTCTCGAAGCTACAAACATGAGTCTAACCAAACTGCGGGAGGCGGTGGAAGACAGGAGTGCCTGGCGTGCTCTGGTCCATGGGGTCACGAAGAGTCGGACACGACTAAACGACTAAACAACAACAAAGCTGAGCAACACTGCCAGCTGGCAGTTTAAGACACTTCATGGTTCCCTTTAAGTATCTAACAACTCTTTTCAGCTTGTGTTGATGGATGTACAAGGTCAGAGTAAGATCTCACTCATCCACAGCTTGGTAGTAGAACAGAAAACTGGACTGGCATTTATTACCAAGACTGCATTAACAGAGGGCTGCTTTCAATTTTGCAAGGTCTCCTGGAACAAAATCCAATGACATTCATCTCTATTGATGCACCCAATACCAACCACGAATCCTTTTTGGCAGAGGTATTGAGTAAACTTTACAAACTGGCCGTGGGGTTGTATAATACTAGCTGGGAAATTAAACCCTGTATGCCAGCAGTTCCCAGTTAGCTAAGTACTGCAGACCCCTTTTTTTTCAAAAGCCACACCATGGGCCACCCTACCTTTGAACATTTTGATATCTCCGTGGCAGTTTTTGTTATGTGAATGACACCATGGAGCCCCAGGGTGGGTGGTCCGTGGACCACCAATTGGGAGCCACTACTGTATGTGATCTTAGACTTGATCAAAGGACAGGTCTCACCCGAACATCTCATGGGAGTAAAAAAATCCACCTACTACACCATTACTAGTAATATCAATTTAATAGATTCATAGAGAGCTAAAAATGAGGGAGTTATAGAATACATTTATCACAGAATTTTAGTGCTGTGTAGTGGGACTTGATTCAGGATACAATGGACACTGGAGAATGCAAGTGACAATAAGAGTGAGGCTTGGGTGATACCTTTGTCAACTATGGATAATTGACTAAATTTAGAACCATCATGTTAGATTTAGATAAGATATATATGTGAGAGATATATCATTTCAATCAACCCTATAATGGCTTTGTGGTTATAGATTATATTTTGTAATTCATCTGAGGACATAGCCATTTTTGTTTTTGTATAGTGTCATTGCTCTCCTCATGCATGGGGTGGGTGATGGATGTGAGATGAGGTGGATGAAGGCGGATGCAAATCTAACATGGTTTTAATATGCTCAGAACAATCACTACTGTGCTAACTCTGCTATGAGAGAATAAGGATCTCTCAACACCCACAACTGTCCAGAGCAGATCTGAGGAGGATGTGGGTGCATATGGAAAGGAGAGAGGGCCAGTTCTGTTGCAGAAATGGAAATCCTGGCAATAGCAGAAGTACTGCATTGGATACTGCCTAAACTAAATTGACTGACAGTTCTTGTGTGTACCACTGAGCATTCCAAAGTGACACCCTCACTTTTTGTAGTTTCCTATGAGAAATCACTTCATGTGAAAAGAAAAGAGGCAGTCTTGACCCACAGTTGTTGTTGTTGTTTTCCTTACATGGTTAGAATTCTAAAATCTGGGGAGAAAAATCCATCCCAATTGTGGGTGGATGTTAAGAGAGAAAGAGCTGGACATCTTTTTAATGGTAGAAGGCACAGGGAGCGC